ATTACTGTACTGAGTGCTGTAGTCAGACGTGGAAGAATAATCATCACTGGACTGAGTAGTGCTGTCCAACCAGGAGAATTCATTGTCGATGTGTTGATTACTGTAGTTAAACTTAGAAAGGTTCCCCGTTAATGTATTGAGTATTGTAAGTGAGCTTAAGAAGAGTTCCAATTGTTGTACTCCATACTGTAGCTAGGCTATGAAAAGTTACTGTGCTGGATATGGTAGCTAAAGCTGAAAATGTTTACCGATCACTAGGAGTAGCTGACCGTAAGGAGTTATGACTCATTTTGTTTACATTTTTTTTTCTAGCATGGCAGCGAATCGCTTGCCAATCGAACACGTGTACTGAAAAAGGACCGAGGTATTTCTTTGCTTTCGTGATAAACGCATAAATTGTTTTGATTATCATAGAAAATACAAGAAAAATATGAGGACTACAATAGATTTTCCTCCATTAATTTCAGTGTTAAATCGTGTTATGATCCAGTTATATGTGCTGACGTTGGTGATACCTCACCTCCAGTATTTTTATGTCGAAAATGTGCCGATAATGTTATAGCCGAACGAAAAGTACCAATGAGGCATTTGACTCAACCAATGCAAGCCAGCAGTGTTACTTGTCAAAATAAGGTCGGTCGTTACTGTATAACTTTTTTTCTCACCTAAATCCTTTTTCTTAATGCTTAAACATCGAAAGATCGAAATATGCAAAATAGTTTTTTTTCAGTTTTTCAAAACTTTTTTTTTTGAATCACACGGAAAATTCTAATTCTAAAACCTTACGTTTTTCGAAAAAAACTTAAAAGTTAGCGCTTTAAAACAAGTAGTTTTATAAAAACGACATGATACAATTTTTTATATACGTCAGGTACTCGTAATTACCGTAATCGATAACGTGAATGGATTACGGTATATAAATATTGCGTGTAATATATTGCATGAAATTAATGTCTGTGAATACAGAATATAATATCTTAATATTTAATATTTATATAATCAAATTTTAACTATTTCTACATATAAATTTAGTATTAATGGATTTGTTTTTTATTAATTATGATAGACTAAAATTTGAAATCTGAAAGGTTCCTCCGAGTTCGAGTCCTTCCTCGTGCTTTCGTTTTATGACTAACTCAAAGTCGTGAGATATTTTTCCATATAGTCGAAATATCCTGCATATTTGATACGTTAAAAAAGTTTTTACATCAGTTATTTTTCCATAGTATGCAAATAAAAAGCAATCTAACTCAGTGATTTTCTTTGTATGAAAAACAAATTGATTTATAAGGCAGCTATAATACTCTCATTGGTCGGTTTCCTGGAAACGGTAAAATCGTGATTGGATAGCGTAACACTTTGTTAAGATGAGGTGGAGTGATAAATTTTATTGAATATCGTATGCGAGTTTGACTCCAGCCTTAGGCCATTCAAACATTTCATCCCTCAAAGACTGATTATTAGTGTCATAATGGCTTGGGAGGGTAAACAGCATTGACTGGTAACGGACTGGTCATCTCAAATCATAGTCAATATAGAAAATCAATAAATAAGACTTATGATCATTTGCATTTGAGTACCACGATGACGTCAAAACAACGAATGTTTGGCGTAACTCTACGAGGACGTAGATCACGCCAGTACTTATCCTTAATCTTATTAATTAATTCTATGTATTCTGTCACCTACGTAATTTGCAGCTGACTTTAAAGATGAACCTGTTTCTGTCTTAGGAAATGTACTTTTAGCTTTTCTTTTCCGTTGAACAAATCAATCAATTATAGAAATCGATCGATATTTGCAGGATTGTCAGTCGCAGTCACGTTTGGCTGTCAGTATTTGTTTTTCACACGATTGTACGAGAACGCACAATTTTGTACCAGTTCGACTTTGTCAGGTACGTTCGTTCCAAAGAAAAAAAAATTCTATGATTAATAAAATGATAAAATTGTATTAAGCTTACAAAATTTTGCCGGATAGTAAAAATTTTACAAACAAAAATTAATCGAGTATGTAGTAATAGAAAAAAATCAACACCAAACAGTTTTTTTTTTCTTGTGAACGAGCTAATACAGTAACCATCGATTGTGAGCCATATATGGCTCACGATTATCGTAATCTTAATTGATGTTGCCAAATTTTTCAGGAGGTTTGAAGCTTATATGTGGTATGAAAGCATTACTTGAGCAGCTGATGTTTTAGTTCTTCAGCCTTAGGCTTCTAACGTTTTGAATCGATAATGATCGCTTAATATGCTTAATTGAGCTTAAATTGTTATTGATTTTAATGAGAAGTAAAGCACCTTAATGGAGTTATTGATTAGTACTTAGTTTTATACCAGTTGACCTCAGTATCGATTTTAAAGGATTCAAAAAACATACCTAACAAAATTGAAACTTTTAAAAAATTCCATTAAGTAGTTATTTTAAAACACTATAAATCTTAAGCACATCGGTTTCACTTTATTTTTTTCCTCCGATCCTTTCGTAAATTGACTAGCTTATCGTAAACTGAGAGCACCTCTTTTTTTTGCCTCGGATGTCAGCTTGTTATACCTCAAAGTGAGCTCATTTCTTGCAAATTTATTTCAATGCCTTCTGACGGATTGTCCGATTATTAGACTCAATGCATCACTCAATCCTTTAAGTTCTGTAATTCCTAATTAAATTTTCCGTCCAAATCCGCTAAGAGCGAAATTGTTATGAACTAAAAATGGCAACTTTAGCTTTTATTTATCATTCAATATTATTTTACAGAGGAAGAAAAAACTATTTTTAATAATCCATTAATATAGGTGGATGTTTTTGCTAAGTGATACACATTTTTCATCAACCTCATTTTTTTCCTCATATAAAAGTAATTTACGTTCCAAAATAAACTTATTTTTCTCGTTATTCAAAATGATATGTGGTGAGAACGTTTGTGATTTTGAAAATCATTGAAGTGTAACAGATTGATGGAAAATCTTAACATAATCAATAATGCTGAGTTAATGCCAAAATTATAGCCTCAATTTTGCCTCAATTTATACGGAATCACGCTTATTTCCGATTTGATCTGCTACCGATTCCACTATCGAACATTTCACTAAGTGGTTTTCCTATTTAACCAAAAAATAATTTTTTAATATTTATTTAAGCACAAAATTTTTCTTGGGAAATCTTGATGGTTTTAGTATTTCGGGACCATTTAATTTAGATTCTTGAATGATTTCATATCGCTCCTAAGTTGTTTTCATTGAACACTACAAGTCACGGACATCTTCGAAAATCCATAAAAATTCCGTATCAACGTGTTATTCGAGGATTTCATAACTTACAAGAGATAAATAAGTATAAACACGGCAGACCGAATATCTGTAGGTACGGGTTCGAATCCCGCCTGAGGTTCCGAGTTTTGCGACCATCTCAGCACAACTATGGACAATATAACATCATTGCAAAATAAAATAAAATTACAAATAAGTATAGTTTAAATAACGATTTAGCAAGCATTGCAATCAATAGTCACTGTAAAAATAATGCTTATTGATTTTTGTAGTTGATACGTTATTTTGAACTGAGTTCATTTTTTAGGAATGTGTTACGACTCTGCATTCACATTGTGACAGTCCTCATTTGATTCAGTGCGGTTCTGGATGTGCATGGGGTCAACCGATAATGTGGGATACAGTAGAAGGAATAGTGAAATTAATGCGTGAAACTGCTCAATTTGAAGGTGAGCTTTTCCCTCCCAGATGATCTACTACAAATATGAATGAATAAATTAGTAAATCTAAGAAACGGATACACCAAATTATTGCCCTCATTATTTAAAATAACTAATATCACTGGATGGGTAAAGGCCATATTATAAGGAAATAATTCTTACAGTAAAAGGTATCGAATGAGGGATCATAATTTTTATACCAGACCAGGTAAGATCCTTTGGTGTTGATCAATCCCTTGTGGCGAGAGGGATGCGCCAACGCATTCGTGTTCAACGTGATATCATGGAGGTGGTTGAATACCATGTTGATTTGTTGAGTGACTTGACTTGACCACTATTCACCACCCTCTTCATCAGTGCTAGTTATCCTACCTAGATTTCTCTGGTATCAGTTCACCGACCACAGAAGGATGGCGGGATTGGGAGGCCTGGCGGCGGCTACGGACTGATTCGGGACGGCGTGTCACTACGGCACCTCCACCGCTACGCCACTGCTCCCTTAATTTTATTCCTGAACATATACTAAAATTGGAAGAATGCAGAGAAGATCAGTATAGCCTCTAGGCAAGGATGACATGCAAGATTTCTAAATAAACTTTTTATTTTCTTCGCTTTCAAGCGAAATCCATAAAGATGGAACATTTATGCTTATTGAAAATGTATAATAAAAAAAGCCACTGTCAATCTAAAACACCACATTCAACTATGAATCTACAACTTTTAAAATGAGGGATAATAGGATTCTTGTGAGGACAAAATATGCAATCATGT